TTGACAGGGTCTATGAACAGACTCTGACAGCAGATTGCGCGCAGATCCTGTCGTTTCCTAGGTTCTTCAATTAAATTTTCTCATGATTTTTCATAATTACTCATAGAATAAGCGCTTTCTCATAAATACTCATATAATACTATGAAAAAAAAAGTTTTTCTATATTATTTTTTCATCATTTTTAAGATCTTCTCTGGTGAGATTCAAACTTGAACTGAAGATATCTTTTGGATAATTGTCCGTCGCCTAAGACACTACGCCAATTCCTCACTTGATAAAAAGCGCTTTGTATTGCCACTTAAAGTTTAAGGAAGAAAAATCTTATAGTTTGTTCGCTTTTTAAACCGCAAAATATAGACGAAACCGTTTAGCGTATAAATAATGTAAGAGAGACCGGCACGATAATTCGAAATTAATTTTTTTACCAAGGTCTATATAGAAAATTACTGCAATAAAACAGTAGATAATGGCATTTTTCCATCATGTTAATAAAATACTGTACTTTTACATGTGCGAATTAATTTGGTCGATCGTCCCGTTCAGATTGTATTAAGTTTTATCAAAATCGAAGCATGATATATTTTTAAATAAACCATCAAAAAAATTCTGTAAAAGTTATTTACATAGCGAGACTAATATTTTATTCGGTGCTGCTGCCTTCAGTACTTATTGCATGACGGTTAAATCGTGCAGATTTAATGACATAACAACATTAAAAAAAATAATAAGTTGAGAAATTGTGCAAACAATTTTTATCAGGGATGACATATGTACGCCTTTAAATAGCCATTTAATCGTTGTACTATTCTATACTTGTACTCGTTATTTCTCTATTATTGTTGCTTTTTTATAAAAAATGTGTAATACAATTTTAAAATATAAACATTATTTTTTATTGTATGTGTACAATTATTGTACAATATAATTATCTTATCTCCTCTGCAGCAGTTTTACATGGTGTGTATATGAAATTGCTCCATTTAATCACGTACATATGGCTCTTGATAGAATTAAATAGCCTATCTAGGAAACAGAATCTGCGCACAGTCTGTCATCAATCTGTCGTTAGAGACTGCTAAAACTGCAGTTTCTGTGTGCAGTCTGTTGCCATTCTGTCAACAGACACTGTTTGCAGACTCTGCGTAAAATCTGCTCGCACAGGTTTGGTTATCTGGGTATATATATATATATATATATATATATATATATATATATATATATATATATATATACAGGG